GTGCCTCTTTGTCGCTCGTTCCGCGCTCTCGCTTGCACTTCAAGCCTTAAATGGAACGCCTCAGAGCGAGGTAACGCCGCATGAGTCATGTTTTTTCGTGCGTGCAGCCGGCTCCATCGAATTATAAGACGTTGTCACGTCAATAAATCAGTCAAATCCCTTGAGTCGTGCTCGAGTGATGCTCCGTCATCCACTCGACAATTCTCTAGAATTGACAGTTCGGAACAGTTTGGTTTTTACGTTTTTCCGGGCAATTTTTCTCTTCATAAGAACTTTCCCCGGAATCCAAGGAATATCTTAAAAAAACAATTATCGAAATTGGTCCAGCCGTTCTCGAGTTTTGCGCTTAGAAACACATTAAGCGACCCATTTTTAAATATATACGAGATCGGTTCAAAAAGTATCGCGAATTTTGAATTTCCGCGGGTTACGTATATTCGATTATCGATTTTTTTGTGGCGTTATATTAGTACCCATGTCTCTCACTTATACCAACAAGTTCGGCCGTGTTCATCGTCGATTTTTGCTTATTGACATTGGTAAGGAGCTGTTGGACCCTATTCGCGACGACCAAAATTTGCTCCAGAGGGTCATAACTGGTGACGAATAATGGGTTTATGGTTATAACGTGGAAACCAAAGCTCAATCATCCCAATGGAAGCTGCCGCATGAGCCAAGACCGAAAAAAGTGCGCCGAGTTAGGTCGAATGTGAAGGCTTTGCTACAGTTTTCTTCAAACGCAGGGGCGTGGTGCATCATGAGATCTTGCCACAGGGTTTAACGGTCAATAAGGAATATCACCTGCAAGTTATGCGAAATTGTCAGTCAGAAACGACCGGATTTGTGGAAGAACAAAAATTGGTTTTCACACCATGATAACGCCCTTGCTCACGCATCGTTGATTGTGCGCGAATTTTTGACCAAAAACACACTAACAATGCCGCAGCCACCGTATTCCCCAGATCTGGTCCGCTGTGACTTTTTTTTTGTTCCCGAATCTGGAGAGGCCCATGAAAGGACGACACTACGTTACGATTGAGGAGATAAAGACAGCATCGAAGGAGGAGCTGAACAAGATCACAAAAAATTTAGTTTTTGAAGTGCTACGAGGATTGGGAAAAACGTTGGCACAAGTGTATAATATCTGGTGGGGACTACTTTGAAGGGGACAAAATAGATATACATAAATAAATAAATATTTTTTGAAAATGCATTGATGACATTACATCTGTGCATAAGCACATCTTTTGATTTTGGTTGACCGTATTGAGCTATTGAATAGTGATCATAAACTTCAGTAGATGTTACACCGTTTCCGTTTGTAAGATTATATCACCCGGGTTATATACGAGACTTTGGTAGAGAGAAATGAACAGCTATAGGCAAAACATAATCAGCTGTGCATGCGGAATGTGTTAATTCTGCACACGGCTCTTCACGCGTCGATTAATACTATTATTGCGATTAGCAAGCCCTGTAGCGCGGCAGCGGCGCCGCGGCCTGGCATGGTATGCTGGCTGGCTGAAACGAAGCCTGGAAAATTAATTAAATCCCGGAAAGGATCTGTAGTTGGGCGCGTTGCCCAGCGACATTTTAAGGTAATTATTTTGGGGAAATGCTTAAATAAACCTGCGATTATTAAAAAGTAAAATTGCGGCGGAAATTACAAAAAAGCTTCTAAATACGTTGTCTATAGTGTGAAATTGGGTAATACATTGTCAACACCACATATAATATAGGGTTGTTCGGAATGTCATTTCGTTTTTTTTTTGTGGAAATGAAAGATAGTTTTCGTACAATAAACAAATACTTTATTAAATTACATATTGACGGTTCTGGTCCAACACCTTTTGCCATCTTTCTGGTAGTAGCATAATTCCACGCTCATAAAATTTTTGGTCTTTGCTGGCAAAAAACTGATCGAGGAGGTTTTTGACCTCCTCATTTGAGGTGAAGGTTTTACCGTCTAAAAAATTTTGGAGTGACCGGAACAAATAATAATCCGATGGTGCCAGGTCTGGAGAATATGGTGGGTGTAGCATTGTATCCCATTCAAGCTGTAAAAGCTTTTGGCGAGTGACCAAACTTGTGTGAGGTCTCGCGTTGTCTTGGTGAAACACTACACCTTTCCTGTTGATTAGTTCTGACCTTTTCTGTTGAAGTGCATCATTCAGTTTGTCCAGCTGATGACAGTAGACTTCCGAATTAATCGTTGTGTTATCCGGTAAAAGCTCAAAAAAAACGATTCCTTTAAAATCCCACCAAACAGACAGCATCACCTTTTTTTGGTGAATATCGGCTTTGGAAATGGTTTGAGCCGGTTCATCTTTTTTGCTCCATGACCTCTTGCGTTTGACGTTGTTGTATACAACCCATTTTTCGTCCCCAGTGATGATGCGCTTCAAAAACGGATCATTTTCGTGACGTTTGAGAAGCGAATCGCAGACGTCAATGCGGCGACACAGATTTCTCTCTGTGAGAACATGGGGAACCCATACATCGAGCTTCGAGGATAATCCCAGGCCTTTCAAGTGGTCATAAACTGTTGAATTTGATAAATTTAACCTCAATCCGATCTCACGTGTTGTTATTCGCCGGTTCACATCAACTAATGCCTTTATCGCGTCTTTATCAGCTTCAACCGGCCTTCCCGAACGTGGTGCATCTTCGACATCAAAATTGCCGGATCGAAATTTAGCGAACCAGTTCTGGCACTGGCGTACTGTCAACACACCTTCTCCATACACATCAGTCAATTTCTTTCTGGCTTGAACAGCATTTTTACCCTTTCTGTAGTAAAACAGTAAGATATGTCGAAAATGCTGCTTATCGCTCTCCATATTTAAAAGGGCACCAACCAAAAACTACTGCGTAGAATTAATTGGAATTTTTCACACACAAGCCTTGCTATATGAGCTCTCAAAGCATATAAAAATTATACGGCTTAAATGTGAAGTTGAGTGCAAAAGAATACAATTAAATCCTCTGTCGGGAAAAAACGAAATGACTTTCCGAACAACCCTATACAATGCACTTATAGTAACCCAAGTTCAGAACAGTGAGCAAGTAGGTACTTCTTTTGTGATATCTATTCGCATAAACCATTTGAAATTATTTTTTATATTCCTTTATATTGTCGCTCATGGTATTGTCGTATTTCATTTTTTAACTTGTATACAGTTAATAGAGTTAATTGGTTGCCTGCCGCTAGCGCAAATTAACATTCACAAGGGCCTGCGGATTCTGGGGCTGTTGCAAGAATCAAGAAGATATCGATCTTGTCTTGACAATATTAAGAACAAGATGCTTGTATGATGTCAAGATCTTTATTAAAATGAACAAGTCGACAAAGTTATCAAGATAGCTTGTTTATAATCAGGAATATATCTCGTTCTTAAATTAAGCCCACCGGAGTGCCAGAATGATAAGATATTAAAAAAAAACAAGAGAATAAATGGAGCTATGGAAGACGATAAGTAAAAGAAGAGATGGGATAGTAAAATACCTACTCAGACATGATGGACTACTTAGAGATATTTTAGAAGCTTAAATAGGAGTAAAGAGAACCAGAGGAAGAAGTGGAAGTGCGTGCCCAGAAAAAAAAAGATCGGAATCGGAGAACACAATCTCAGACATGATATGGGTTACATAGAAACATACTAGAAGCTTAAACCGGAGTTAAGAGAACAAGCGGAAGGACATAAGGTACGTGTTCTCAAAAAACATCGGATGGTAAAAGACCTTCTTAGACATGTTGGGCTACAGACATTTTAGAAGTTAAAACAGAAGTAAAGAGAACCAGAAGAAGGAGTGGT